GAACTAGAGATGAGTCTTCCTGGAAGTCTGCAATAAGCAATGCTGGAACAAAATCTTACAGAAAACTTGGATCTCCCCTGAAATCGCAGCACTAATCTGATACCAAACTGTGTTATTTAAATGTCAAGCAGACTTAGATATAGGAAGCACACTTACATTTAGGACTCCTCCTGGGTGCCACTCTACCGAGGTAACTCACCTTTCAACGTGTGGCCTACTCTACAGTAATGTATCACCATAGCTCCATAGGTAAGTAGTGAACAAATGTACCAGACCAGAGCAATGTATCTTTAAACTGCTCTGTATACTTGTCCTTTCATCCAAGCACAAAAAAACCCCACCAAAAACCCCAACCAAATGAGAACAAAATCCGAAGTTGTGACTCACTGATATTACAGCTGATAAACAAACAAACAGAAGCCCTCCCAAAAACCCCAACAGTAAAGTTTTTCGTTTTACACTAGTTTTTCCTTGTTTCACTGCTAGGTGACAGTCCATACACTTCTTTACTGCCTTCCTCCCCTACAAAATGCACCCAAAATTTCATGGATTGGACTTTGTGGACACAAAGGAAAGGCCACTTTAGTCATACGAGCTCAGTAGCATGAAACAAATAGTTAAAAAGAGGTAAAACAAGCTTTTCAATCTCAATTTTGATACTGCATAATGCATTTCTCACACTTAGTGAGCATGAAACTCAACATACACTTGCTCAGGTGCAAAAGTTTCAAAAGAAAAGAGTAAATTCAATTCATGTTATATCTGTAACACTCCTTAGAAAGCTGTGTCTACAGATGTGGCTATTATAAAGTACTTTAAGCTGTCTGGCTATGAGTTTGCTCAAAATAATGTGTAAAAATACTTAAAAAATTATGACAGACATACCTTAACACATCTAGCTGACAATGGAAATTAAGGTAACCAGGGGGTTTTCTGTTTTGGCAATAAGGGGGATGGCACCAGGGGAAGGGTTGTAAATATTTTTCTATTCATTTCTTAAAACGACCCTCTCCCCCACCTTCCCCCAAACAAAAGATTCAAGAATTCCTTAATTTATACATCATTTGGATGGACAACAGCCCACAGGGAGAAGGCAGCTGAAACAGCGTGTGGTAAACCTATTTAACCTTCAGCTTTCTCTAGCATTCCTCACTGAAAAGCTTAGATCATATTAGTGTTACATACCATCAGTTAGCTTAAGTAAAACATAGGCATTTAAGTTTTTCATTGATCCTGTCACTTCAAAGGCAGCTTTCCCCCTTTTCTTTAGGAAAACAGCAGGAGGGAGAACCCAAAATCAAACCTGCCTGAGAATGTGAACTAATGAGATCCTCTATTTAAAGACTCTTCTTGGCTCAAGACAGCTGAAAACAGCTGTTTTATGGTTCTTGTTCTTCCTCACAGTGGACACTGAAAAATAACCCATTAAATATTTGTTGTAATTTCTACTGCCTTGTAGCAGTGCCATGCAATATGAAAGCTGGGGTATGTTTTGATGACAACATGCTACCTGGTACTACAAAAATGTGTATGTTGTTACAGTATGAACATCTGATTAATGCTTACAAGGTCACAGGCAGTGTTATCTTAAAAACACTGATTTCAGATGAGCTGGTGTTCACAAGCATCACACACCTTGACAGATCCCAGTAAGACAGAACCAAACAGGTAAAGTCTGCTTCTGTCTCAGTTTAGGTTGCCAAGAAAGCAGTTGTAACAACCTCAACCTTAAACATAGAAGTTGCTAATGTTTTATGTTACAAATTGCAAGGCATGTTTCCATGTAGACAAAAATAAAAAGATAACACCTCTGCCGCAGGAGATAGATAAATTTAGACTACTAGTCAAGGACTTTTCTGCTATCTGACCAAAGCCCTGCTTTATAGAAAAAAACCTCAAACACATACTTCCCAGTTTTATACAGAGAGAGTCATTGATATGTATGACAAAAGAATCTGATGCCTATAAGCAACTTACAATTGATTTCATATCCTGCTCATGTCATCAAGGAAGATGAGTCAACATCACTGAAATGTATCAATTTTGTTTGTTAATAATTACAATTTAATGTAATTAAATGCTGTTCAAATTACACCATACATATTTTCACAATGAAAACATTTACAAGGACAGCAATGGCATGTTTATCCAGTTCCTAGTCAAATGTGAAGAAACCCCAGGCCAAGTGTTATGTTAAATTAATTAACGCTATACCGAGAATAAATTATTTGAACACTGGATGTCAAAAATATTTTTCTTAATTGCAAAGAAGTCCTAACCAATACATACCATCTGATGTCTTCTGTAAGTCTGCTTTCAAACGTTCAACTTCCTTCTTCAACTTCTCATCAGTTGCTTCTGCTGACTCCTTTTTACTGCTTCCTTTTTCACCCAAGGTCTATTAAAAACCACAGGTGCTATTATTAATGTTGTTTTCATTAGTCTCACATTAATGCTAAACCACCAGAGAATATCAGCCCTGATCTTGGAAAGTGACAGGTTTTATCAGATGCCAACATGACACAGGCAGATACTCAGTCATTCTAGGAAAAAAAATCTCCAAATTAAAAAGAAAAAAAAGCTCAATGTTTTAAGGTGATAATAATGGCATACTTGTAATAGTATGGCATTATCTCCTGTGTAAAAGTACTTTGTATCTCTGCATCAAGCCTATGACTTCTGTTTAGGTTTTTCCAGAAGACACACACTGGGACTACAAGTGACAGAACAGTGCCATGCTCATGTGCAACTTGGTCTAATAATTGATTCCAACTTAAATCACGTAATACATCATATATTTCTCCTTAAAGGTTTGCTACTTCTTCAATCTTCAGAACACTTCAATACCTAGATTGGCTTTGCACTGAAATTAAAGAAAAAGTATAGGAAAGAATGCAGCAATAGCTCTGTAAGTACCAGACACAAGAGCAGTAAACTCCCTGTACTCTGAACATGTTGGCACAACCCTTAGGCATGCTCTTATCATTAAGGCAATTGCTTTTGATAACGAATTATCATATGTTAAGGATTAGACCCCAATTCAACACTTTGCCCTTAAAGTCTCTATAAGCCTTCAAACGAAGCATCATCTCTGTTACAAAAATGGCTAAAAAAGCAGTAGAGGCTTAATGAGAAAAAAAAAAAGTAGAACAACTAAGAGGAACAGATGTTAGGTGATCTAGTGATATCAGATCTTACTGGGCACAGGTGGGAACAGAGGTTAAAGATTACTCAAGATAGAAGGAAAAGAACTGTTTAGAAAGACTGGTAAAGAACTAAAAGAAAAGAGCTGAAGAAAATTTTCCAGAAGCTATTGAACCAACAAGCAGTGATTGCATTTGACTGCTGGTAACAAAACCACAGCCAATTTGTCATAAAACTAGCCACAGATTACTCCACTATTTTGTGCTCACCTTTTCCTATTAGTACCAAAAAGTTATTTCTGTAAACTTTTTATGTTAAGTCCTGTTCTCCATGGAACCTCTGAACAGGAGACAGTGCAGACCCAGCACATTCAAGTAAAATTACAGTATTTACCCTTACAGCCAGTGCCCTGTGTGTGATTGCTTGTCTCTAAGGATGGAATGAAGCATTCTTGTAAATGAACACAAATGCAGGGGCCAAGCCACAGAGGAACCTCAGCTATGTTATCTCTATAAAGTTGAACTAATCCCAAACACTATGCATCTCCAGGGCAATGGAGATACAGCCGCAGCACACTGACTGTACCTGCAGCTACCACTGCTTTTGCAAACCATGCAATCAAACACACAAACAGAAATAGGAACAGTTTCCAGTTCCTGGCTATTGCTTACAAGCAGCTAAAAGAATGTGTTGCTAAGAGAATGTGAAAGCAGAACAAAAAGAGGACTTTTGGTCAAATCTCAACGGGACAGAGACAAAAAAAAATAAAAATGTGCCAGTGAGGAGTAAAGAGACAAATTTCATGGCTGAGGAGAGAGTCTGGATCACTTTGACAAAGTGCCAAATCCCAAAATTTTTAAATAATTTTATACTTGGGAAATACTTAACACTACACATTAGTGATCTTTCTTTCATGACACCTCTGAAAAACTGGGATTCTTTTGCGTCCCTTCTACTATTTGTTGTCCAGAGTTTGCTCTCCTTGTCTGAAGATTTATTACCAAAAAATTACAGTGCTGGTAACCACATACACTGCTCCAGACAAACTGGAAGGAAACCTGTACACAACTGCAGTGAATTTTGTTTTGACAATTTGCCAGACAGAAGAATGCTATAAAAGTTTTCAAGGCATTCCTATCTACATCCTAGCTTAAGATTAAGCCTCTTCCAAAAGAAGTAATTCTAACCAAATATGAGAAAAGATTCAATAAATTTATCATCTTTGCTGACTTTCCTCCTGCATACAACTGTATATTGAACCACAACAGAAAAATGGTAGCTTAATTTTCTCCATTATTCTCATAAATACACTATCTTTCATCTATTGGTGGTTCTTTTAAGTAAGACATTTTTGTTAATATCCTCATTAATACTACAGTAGTGCCTTACTGACAAAGGAAGGTATTAGGAAATTGACTGACCCACCATAAAAATAGATACAAGAATAAAAAAATATGAGAAACAGAGAAGACCGGTTTTACAAGGTAGAAACAACACTACAGGGTTGGAGCAAATCCTATTTAGAAGAAACAGCCAGCATGCCAACAGCTATATTGTAGGCTCTTCCATACTAGACTGCTATAGCCCTGCCCTAAACAGCTACATGTTGAGGATAAACCTGATGGAATTACTGTCTCCCTCCCCTTTTTTATTATTAAATTGAAAGAGATATTTTAAGAATATATTACTTCATTGATGAAATTTGCACTGGGAAGACACAACTTCATTTATTTGCATTACTTTAATTTCCTTTGTTAATCAAAGTCCTACTGAAATTTGTATACAGGACTCTGAATTACATATTGGAAGAACATTGTTTTTCCTTTTTCCACCAGAAGGAAAAAAAGAAATTAATATTATTTAGTAGCAAACCAGTACTTTGCACTAACTACTTGCTGTATAAGAAAATAACTAAAAAAGTTCAGAGATACCTCCCGCAGCTTTTCATTCTCAGCCATGTATTTTTTGGCTGCTTCAGTAGCATCATTTACTTGTGTTTCCAGAGCTGCATGAGATGTCATCCCTTTTGCCAACTGGGTAAGAAGGGTAACAGTACGTCTCAATACACTGGTGAAGAAACACAGTGAACAGCACAGTAATTCTCAGAAAAAAAACCAAACCAAACAAAAAAATCCCAAACACTACAAAACCCACAAAACCATTAAAAAACCCCAACCAAAACATTCTCTTTTCTCTACATATATTATATGTGAAAATAAAATCACAACAGGACTGTTTAAACACCTGAAGGGAAACATACAAGCTCATCACTGACAAATAGTAAAATAAGAGACTGGAAAGATTTTCATCCATCAGAAATCAGATTTTAACCCGATGCAGAACCTCCCTCCTACCAAAAACCCAAGGCCATTAAGGGGTCAGAGATTTATTTGCTTACAAGCTGAAAGTCTTACATGACCTTGTGTTTTAAACAGGATAGGTCTCTGAATACAAGACTCAAGAAACATCTTATGGTAATGAGTACTATGCAAAATAAAAACAACCAATAACCCACTACAACTTATTTGCAAGATTGAAATTAGCAAAGTGAGCATATTAATCTTGAAAGTACTCTATCAATACAGTATAAATCACAATATGCATAAATATCAGTACACATTTAGCACCTCAAATCTAAGCTTTGCAAATACCTCCCTTAACTTCATCTCAGGATTGCTTCTTTGCATCACTACTTTCATTATTCGTGTTGGAGTCTTTCAGAGTAGTATGTTGCTGAATTAAGGAAAGGCCAAAGCAACACTCTATTAAATAAATTCCTCTGATATAAGTATGCAGCTGCTTTTCAAAAGAAATTTCAAAAATCCAAGTAACTGTATTTTTCATAACTGAAAACATATTAGTAGACCTTTTGGCTTTCAAGGTAAGTCCTCCTCTCTGATTTTTCATTGAAAGCTCATCTTCTAACTTTTTTGGGGTTTAATGAAAAAGTTAAGTCTCATATCACTGCTTTTCCAAGGGTTACCTTGTTTTACTAATTAATTGATAGGCAGAGCAGTCAGCAAAACATCATCATTAAAACAGAATCACAGAATCATGTAGGTTGAAAGGAGCTTCCAGAGGTCTTCCTGTCCAAGCTCCTGCACAAAGCAGGGACAGGTAGAGCAGATTGTGCAGAGGCTTGTCCAGTTGAGTTCCTACCATCTCCAACAACGGAGATTCCACCATATTTCAGGGTGCTTCTTTCAGTGTTTGATCACACTTTATAGTAGAAAAACTATACACAAGACCAAGCTTCCTAGGTACCTGGCCTCTTGCCTCTTGTCATTCCTCTGTCGACCACTGAGAAGAGCTGGCTCCATCTTCTCAACATCCTACCACTAGACAGTTATAGAAAGCAACAGGATCTCCCCTTCAGTGACTCTTTTTCTGGTTGAAGCCAAGCCCTCATCCTCTCCTCACAGGCCACGTGTTTCAGCCCCCAACCTTCTTGGTACCCTGTTGTAGTAGTCCAGCATTTTGGGGAGTCAAAACTGGAACCAGTCCTGCAGTTACATCTTGCTATCACAGCTCACTGCATGGCTGGCTGTCTACCAGGATCCCCACATCCTTTTCTGCAAACTGCTTTCTATTCAGTCAGCCCGCCCCAAGTCTGGAGGTTGGTTGTGGTCTTCCTGTAAGATGCTGCACTTTGTATTTGCCTTTGTTGAATTTCATGAGATTTCTGGCAGCACATTTCTCCAGCCTGCCTAGCTCTCTCTGAATAGTAACCTCCAAGATAGAAATCACTCTGATTTGGTACCATCTGCAATCTTGCTGAGAGCATATTCAATTCCATCATCCAGGCTGTTAATAAGGACATTGAACAGTATTGAGCCCAGGACCAATCCCTAAGGGGCATCAGCTGGAATTTACATTACTATCAGCCTTTGACCCCAAAAGCCGAGGGTATTTTCCAACTGCTTGTTCCTCCAGTTCTCCAGCCCATACCTCTTCACAGCTAGTCTACTGGGATGTTACAAGAGACTATGTAGAAGGCCTTGCTAAAGGCTCACAACATTCACTGCTCTGCCTGTTACCCACACAGCCAGTGTTCTCATTGCAGAAGGCAACAGGGATGATCAGGCATCATGTCCTCTCTGTAGATCTGAGCTGACTAATCCAAGCCATTGTATCCTCCATGTCCCTGGAAATGGCTTTGAGTAAGATTTGTTCCACAACCTTTTCAGGAAGGTGAGGCTGATTAGTCTCTGGTTCCCTACATCCTGTTTTTTGTCCTCTTCAAGACAGGTGCAATGTTTGCCTGGATCCAGGATCCTACCCTGATCACCATGATCTTTCAAAGATGACAGCATGGTCTTGCAATGACATTGGCCAGCTCCCTCTGCATGCAAGGATGCAACCCATCCTAAGATGTCCTGTACTTATATTTGCACAATCTGTTTTAAGTACTCCTTAGCTGCATCTTCCTTTACTGTGGTTAATGTTACATTCCCTGTTGACTCTCCTAGAAGACTCAAGAGAATTGGGAGGCCAAACAGCAGACCTTACCAGTAAGAAACACTGTAAGATAAGGTGGGTCATAAGACACTCAATGTCTAATTCTTTTCCAAGTAATTTGGTCTCCTGCTCCACTGAGCACTGGGGCCACGGTTTCTTCAGCTTTCCTTTTGTTTTCAGCCCTTCTCACCCCTCTCCAGTGCAGTATGGGGTACCAGGGGACCAGACAAGCCTTGGCTTTCCACACCTCCCAAGACATCAAGTCAGATTAGCAGGTGGGTGCCTCTCTCCTGCCTACGGGACAGCCTCTGGTAACTATGACCCTCCTCTTTTCCATGCAGACAGTTGGCGAATGAAGGCTCTGCTGACTCCAACACCCCCACTGTTAGGTCATTTTCCGCACCTGTATCCAGAGTTCCACAATTGCTGAACCACAGACAGAGAAAAGCTTTTGTTGTGTTGCCAGAAGTGACATGCTGCCAACCTCCTCCATCTTGGGAATTTCCATCTACTATTCTTCTGGAATTATCCTATTGGTTGATGTGCTAAAATGAATGAAAACTAACCCAAAGAATGAACTAGGGGCATTTGAGTACCCATTCACACCTACATGATGTCTTAACTTGGTTGGGTGATGGCAGCAGCAAGGTAGGATAAGGCAACCCAAAGAACACCTTTTCCTCCTTTTCTGACAGACATTATACCTGTTTAATGGATAAAAAAAAATAGCTCTACTAAGAAAAGTCCTTTGATCTAGCCACTAAAAGCATTTATTTCTTCTAAATCTTGGTGAAAGGCCAGTAGCCCCCAAAAAAACCTCTTCCAGAGTTGAACTTTTATCCACAATAAAATCTATTAGGGCCACCTGACAAGTTTTCTTCCTTGAAAGCTGAGTGGGAGTGGGATCCTGGGGGACCAGCTTCCAACTCTAGTGTAGGACACAATCCAGCTATTCCTCTCTTGGAGCAGAGATCACAAACGTATTTGTGCCTATTTACTTAACCTTTCTGAAGGAAGACAAAGAACAGGATGCATTCCTAGCACTATTGTGCAAGGCTACAGCCACCTTCGTTTTTTAAAAAAATTTCCTGGTCAAGTTTTCTACAATTTTTTCCTTTACACTTTTTTTATGTACAATGCCTCTCAATGATCAGCTAAAATGGCCACTTATCACTTCAAGAGGAAGAAGTTTATCTGAGGTGTCTGACGCCTGGCACTTCCTTGTTTTGTGCTTCTCTTGCATATCCAGGCAATGTCATGTAGCTCACTGAAGGATTCAGAAGAGGACCAACATTCTTCACCCATTGTCACCATAAAAATGTACAAACAGAAAACCATCTGACCAACATGTCTGTTCATGTGCTTCTTGTCCAACTAAGATGATCTGCAGATTGTTGTGGCTACTGTAAAGATTCACAGGTAGTCTTGACTGCTACTGCTGGGCAGTACAGAACTGTCCTTTCTGTTACCCTGTTTTATCAGCTGTATTTAAACATCCGGAAAGGAATAATGCAATTAAGACCACAATATCATATCTGCTGGCTTTGGCTGGTATACAGTTAATTTTCTTCACAGTAGGTAGCATGGGGCTATGTTTTGGATTTGTGCTGGAAAAAATATTGATAATGCTGAGGTGCCTCCTTATTGCTGAGCAGTGCTTACAGAGTCAAGGCCTTTTCTGCTTCTCACACTACCCCACCAGCGAGTAGGTTGAGAGTCCACAAGAAGCTGAGAGGGGACACAGCTGGGACAGCTGACCCTAACTGACCAGAGATATTCCATATTATATGATGTCATGCTCAGCATGCAAAGCTGGGAGAAGAAGAAGGAGGGAGACAACATTCAGAGTGATGGCATTTGTCTTCCCAAGGAACTGTTAAGTGTGATGGGAGTGCTGCTTTCTTGGGAGACGGCTGAAAGCCTGCCTGTTGATGATAAGTTGGAATGAATTCCTTATTTTGCTTTGCTTGCATGCACAGCTTTTGCTTTACTTTATTAAACTCTCTTTAGGTCAACCCACAAGTTTTCTCACTTTTATTTTTCTGATTCTCTCCCCTATCTGACCAGGTATGAGTGAACAGCTGCGTGGGGCTTAGCTGCCTGCTGGGGTTAAACCATGACACATAGTAAGTCAGTTTTCACAAAGTGCTTGACCTGAAATAATATCTGAAACTCCCCTTGAAAGCCAGAACATAATCTACATTTCCTAACTTTGAGCTTTAAATGAACTGGTTCAAGTCAGTCTCAAGCTTTGCTTCTTAAAACAGCAGGATGCAAGAATACCTTATTGCAACGTGTTAAGATTATTTTAACAGTACTTTAGTTTCTGAGGCTTTTTTTAATTCTGGTTTTCTTTGTTCAAAACGAACACACCACAGGGCCTAAGTTTAAGGAAGGAAATGAGTATTCCCTGAAGAAACTTCTGCAAAATACATGTTCTCTCAAGCATTCAAAATGTTTCTTTCCATGTGTTGCTAATATCCTTCCCATCTTCAAACATTTGTAAGATATTATTTTCCCTGACCCTACTTGCCTCATAGCCAATCTGTTCACACTTAATTCTTTAATCTCTTAAAATAGGACTTGGTGCAATAGTTCCTGTAAGAGACACACTACTTAGAAATTAGAAAAATGTTATACTTACAGCCAAAGAAATAAGCAAAAACCTGAGAGATAGAGGTTTCTTTGCGATCGGAAGAGTTTCATCTGAATATGATCAAAGGCATTGGTATTGACATTTGCAGCTTTCTCATTCACATTAACAGACGAGTACTTCCTGACTTCTCTGCAAGCATCTGCAAAAAAACCCCAGTTTGTTCTTATTCACATCTGTGGGTATGCAGGTATGATAAACTTGACATAGTACTAGGAACATGTATTTGGACTTTCTGCACAACTAATAAGAATAGAACATGATTTATGTTACCCACACATTTTAAAGATAGCTCTAGATAGATCACTGAAGCAGTATAAGACATTTCCAGAGACAGCAAAACCATTGCCCAAAACATGCTTGAACAGTCACTTCCAACACTTGCACACAACCACCAGGAATGAGGTCAAAGCAACACATTTTACAAATGTTACCAGAGACCTTACAGACAGTGTCAAAATGTCACTGCTGATAACTGAGTTAGAATCCAGCCCACAGACAAGCAGTGAGAAAACAGTATGAGAAGAAAAAAAAAAAGAAGAGATGCCTTCTGAAGTATTTTCCTCATATGGAATTTGTTAGATAAGCATGTATTTTACTAATGACAGAAGTGTCTATTTTATGTTTGTCTCAGGGAGACAAATATTTCTGTAACATCCATCAAAATAGGAATACTGTAGTAATACAGTGTTGAACACAAACAGAAGTGGTAAGCTACAGCTCAGCTTTTTTTCCTCTCCCTTTCATCCACCACATACTCCTCATAGTGCTATAGAAGGGCCAACACTTCAAAGGACAAAATAATTCAGTAGGACTTATGTCTACATAAAACCAAAAGCTAATGCAGTTAAGAGTTCATATTACAATCGGTAACCTTAAGGTCATCATACCATTGACCATCATTATGGTCAACAGATCAAATAAGATATCCTACATCTCAATAAAAATACACATTTCAACACATCAGATGTTGCAGAATATTTTGGCCCTATGTTATTATATTGCTGTTGTATTTCTCTACACAGACAAAATCAACTCCAAAGAAAAGCACAAGAATAACATCACTTATGTCTGTCTCTTATTTAGAGACGGAAAAAAAAAATTAAAGTATTTGATGTGGAACTCAACCAATGCAATAAAAACTAAGACAATAAAAAAAGTCCCTATCCTTGTACTATGGGAAGATTCTAGTCTTGTAGTAACCTATAATCTAATGCTACAGGGCAAGCATCACCCTACTACTTTACCTGAGCCCAAATTTATCATTCCACAACATTAATAATCATCACCAACTCAAAAGCAAACTTTGATCAAAGTTTTCAATGGATTTTCAAGGACAGTAAATTAAAACCATTGGTTCTCAATCTTCAGTAATTTACCAAAGGATGTACTACAAAAGATCATCTAAAATAAAAAGGTTTATCAGCATTTCCAATACTTTTTTTACTATTAGGAATATAGTACTACTCTCTAGTCTGACTTTTTTACGTATGTAGTACACCTGTATGATTCTCTCAGCAGACAATAAAACCACATCTTTTTTATTTTTATTTTAAGTAACTTGAAATTAAGTCACATTTTCCATGTAAGGCACTTGAAACACTTCTATCCGTGCAAGAAAACTACTTCTAGCACTGAAACCGGGGAACTATTTCCATCCATAAAATACGGGAGATACTTACCACAAAGAGAAGTCAGGACAGACATTAAATTAATTCAGGCACATGGTCTTCATTCAAGCTCCAGTTTCATTAAACTTTTACTCCTACTTGATAGACCTTATGAACTACTCAGAACAAATTTAGCCAACAGTTGTTTTGTATCTGTGCTGAGCAAAAGTAATCAAATAGCCCAGTGCTTTGATATATTCTTCTGGTCTTCTATTTCAACAACAAGCTAGAGAAAGAGTGCCATCTACTGCATATTGAGCAGCTCAGCCAAATTCTGGTGTCAAACGTTTCAAGTTCAATTACTCGTGTGAGAAAGTGAAAGCAAGCAGCAGCCTCGACCAAGCTCCATTTTCCCTCCTCATTCACTGCTATACTGCTGTTGCATTTGGATTCCCAATACAGATGCAGTATAGGCCCTTTCCCATTATACTGCAGAACTTCTTACTTAACACTTACCAAGAAACAAGACGATCAGTAAAACTATTATTGTAAGGAATATCTTGTTCCAAAAAACTGCCATTTTGCTCCATAGAGAAATCGTAAAAATCTTCTGCCATCTGTAATATAGCATTGTGTTACTAAAAAACAATTAAACACAAAAAAAAGCATAGTAACCTCAGAGAAGAGAGCCTTGCTATTCATGAGAGGCTTACGTAAGGTCTCTAAACAACTGCTTTAACTGCAATATAATTTAGGTATACATAACTTTTCAAAAAATTCAACTTGCTTGTCTCTTCTTTGTTTCTTGTCAATACAGGCAAAGACAGTTGGTTCAACTTGAAAACTTCTTGCATGATAGCAGGTACTCTCCAGATCTGTTTTATTTTAGCTTGAACTTTGACTGGCATTACTTTGTGTTTGATCCTGACTACAATAAACTCAAGTAAATACTATTAAAACCATTTAATAATTTTTATTTCTATCCAGTTATACTCCTTGTTGCCAAATAAAATAAAATCCCTCCACAAATAAAGATCATCTCAAGGCTTACCTTTTACATTGATGAGTTTGCATAATTGTAAAGTACAAGGATTGTTCTTATGTTCTAACTTGCAAATGACAACAAAAGAACAAGTCTTATATTTATATTTTGTCAGGTGTTGAAACCTCTTTCAGGAGCATTAATTTGTTGGCTAAGGAAGCAACTTCAGAGGCCCAGTGGTGATTGTTACTGCATAGAGGGCTTTTGCAAGAATTCACATGTGCAGCACAAATGAACATCTGATAAGCTCAAATGAACTGAAACCCACATGAGACAACAGCAGAGCAGCTACTTGTCCTTCACTGCAGGTTAGAATCAGCGCTACTGCAAAAATTAAGTAATCCCTAGTTATGCCATTAGGGATGTAACACAGGCATTGATTGTATCAGGTGAAATATCTAGCTTTTCTAAAGAGTACTGACATTTTGCAGAGATGGTCACAATTTGTCCTTTAACAAAGCAGCTTCCAACCTACTATGAGCCTAATTTAAATTAGGTGGTAGGATTACCCCCAGTGGTTCCTTCAAGTTCTGTACCAGCAAAAATGAAAATATTTTAGCATGGTATGTACACAAACTTAATTTATATCTTTTAGTCTAACTTGAATTCCTTATAGCAGACAGTCATAGTCTGTATCAACCAAAACTCCTTGATTAAACCAAACTACAACTAAAATTAAGCCAACTCTTTAAACATGCAGTTCTCCAAGTTTCACATTGATATCCACTCAATAAGTGATTCTCTGAGGTATGACCTTAGACCATCTATGCTGCCAAGTTATATTCAGGCTAAAAATAAGATCTTTTTACTGCAAAGTCTTCCTGTGTTACATTTTCAACAAATATGGGCATTCAGATTTATGAATGCTGCATTTCCTTTTGGTGACAGAAGTCACATAAATATAATCCTTCAAATTGTAATACTGGCCACCACTTCAGATGTGCCATGCTTGGCAGTACAGTTCTGTCTTTCTGCATACCTGCATTTTTATGTTGTTGATTCAATTATTCCCCTGGAACTTAAAAGCTTGTTAGCAAATTCAAAAAGAAGTTCATTACCCAAAAAAGTGTACAAGCACAAAAAAGGCAAACCATCTGTTTGAGGATGGACAAGCCAGTAAATTGAAACTTTAAAGAGCAGCTTCCTGTCTGCCTGTGTAACAAGGAACGCTTCTCTGCTGCCAGAATCAGCTCCCAGGCCACCAAAACGTGCAAGGCAGAACTGCTGCCCTCTGCTACTGTCACAGCAGCCAAATCTAGTCTCTAACCCCACAACATTCCTGTGACAGTTTTGTTAACAAGATAACTGAACATGTCACATAAGGGACAAAGCTACTTCACTCTTTCAGAAACCAGTGTTCAAAGGAATAGCTGAATGCTACAAACAAGTGCAAAAATCTACCGTTTGTGTTTTACTAAAAGCACTGTGATTAATGTTTTAATAAATGCTGGTAACACTGCAGTTCATGAATTTGCTTTTCAGCCACAAAGACGGGATTCAAGCCTTATCTATGTCATAAGTGAAACCTATTTCAATACTTGCAATGTACTGCGCACGTGTCATCAGCCTGCAGAAATTCCTGCAGCTGGCTTCCCCACGTAAATAATCTGAGTATTACACCTCCCACAATACTTTTCCCTTCTTACAAACAATTGCACTTTTGATTGGAAAACAACAGAAAATATGAGAACTCAATCATCTATGTTAAAATGCAGAACTCCTCACAAGACAGTTTGTAAAAAGAAATCAAACTAGGTTTTAGCACAGTTTTAACTTCTGAAGTTGAGGAAACATGACCATCATCCATACTGGCTGTGGATGATCCAACCATTTTGAAGACCCTTTCACAGGTTTATGTAGCTAAGTTCAGACTCTCCACACTGGAGGGTTTTGTTTTAGCATTTGCTCCTTAACACACTGCAGCAAAAGCTGCATTCTTAATTCCGTATCTAAAGATATTAAAAATAAATAAATTAAAAATACATGTATCTAAAGATGCAGGAAACAAACACTAACAGTTTGTACATAACACTGAGACAATGGCTTTTTCTTTTTTTTTTTTTTTTTAAAGCTTTAAGGTTTTATCCTGCTTAGGGTTTTTTGGGGGACAGAGGGTTGGTTTTTTTTAGAATTACTCATATTCTGGAAATAAATCATAAACCTGTTTCTCTTGCTTCTTGTAGAGAAGTTAGCTTTCTTTATTTCTTATTTGAGAAGCTAAAGGAAAGAACCATACGATAAGGTTGCAAGCCAGGTCTTTGCATATGGTAAGAGTAATTAACACATTTATTTTCCTTACTAAGGGCATTTTACAAAGATGAATTATTTTTCTTAATATGTTGTGTTCCAGAAGCGTTACTATCTTGTTAACCTGCATTTAAGTTTATAGAGGCCTTTATTTCAATGGTCCTGAACCTTTTGCATCAAGCTGAAGTTTGCATTTACTAAACCAAATCATTACAAATCTCTTAGCAGCCCTTACACACGGTGGACACAGTTAGCTTTGAATACCAGACATCTCTGATCTGCTGAGCACCCGCAGTGCTTAACGCACACCAAAACGCTGCAAACCTGCTCCTGCCAAGCCCGAGCAGCAGCTCCCGGGGAGGCCGCACCGCCCTCAGCCCTGGCCGGGAGCGGGATGCAGCCCTGCCCGCTGGGAACACCGGGCACCCCCGCGACAAGACTGGGAAGCGAAGGAGCGGGGCTGCTCCTGGGAACCCGAACTGCCGCTGGGATGAATCAGCAGGGTGTGCTCAGCAAACGCAAAGCTCCTTACAGAGGCTGAGGGCTCTGGCAACT